ACGTTCAGTTGTCCTAATGTGAAACCTGAAAAGGGTTAAAATTCTCAGCGTTTGCCACAGAGGGAAGGGGTGATGCTGCACCCTGCAGCTCACCCTACTGGCCAAAAGGAGGAACTGCACGACGCGGGGCACATTTCTTGAAGGAAGTGGGGAGGAAAAAGAAATTTTCAATTGGCTCCCCTGGGTATTATGCTGTCCAATCTACCAGTGACAGATGTCGTTCATCTGAGAATATTATTAAGCCACACTGCCTTTTGGTGGTTGAATTCACAGGTGGTGTTTTAGCGATTGTACTCTCAGCTCCTCATCAGTTTGGTTTCGTTTCTGATCATTTAGACGCCCCTGCTCTCTGCAGATGCAATTTCTGAAGGCTCTTAAGGAGGCTGCTGTTTTTAGCCTGACTGTGTAGTCAGCAAACGGTATCCCGAGCTACAAAACTGAGTCTTTGGCCCATCGTACTCCTTGTACGTTCAAGATGTAGTTGGGGCAACTTTCTAAAAGAATTGATAAATGGTAACTTTCTTTGCCCGACCTGTCATTTGTTCTGGAGACGTAACGGCGTTCAGTGCTATCACACTCACTGCCAAGGCCTTGGGGCAAAAGAGAATATTTATATATTGAATTATGGGCAGATCTAGGAGGGGAAAAAAAGATGGACAGAGAGTCAGACTATGTAGAGCAGAGAAGAATTCGAGACCTTCGCTCTACAGGGATTAATCGCAGTAACCAACCACCCAAGTCCAAATGGATATTTAGAAATCTGTGAGGGCTCTGGGCTGTTCTGTGGGAAACATCATATATTTCAGGGTGTGTGATTTAAAAAAGAGGGACGGACAGAGCTTTCACTTTGGCGTTGCCCACACGCTGTGTAAGACATTTACACAGGGAAACGTTTGACATAGTCACGACTGAACCTAACATATTTCTCCCGTTGGGAGTGAGACTCAATAACTTAGGTGAGTGGTTATAATAAGGAATGATAAGCTGTCATTTTGCTAATCTTACTGTGATTCAGCTTTGGGAACTGTGTTACTATTAAATTGGCCCGTGAAAATCTGGCAATATTAATGCCATCAAGCATGAAAACTAACTGGATTTGGATCAGGGAGCTTTATTTATAGCACTTTAGTGAGGATTTATTAGTTTAAAGAGGGAGCTGTGTGACTCGTGGGTTCTTAAATATTAAACAGGGCAGGAAATCATGGGTTCCCTTCCAACAGCAATAACAAGAAACAAAAAAAGCTATAGACAATTTTACATTAATTTCCATTTCCTTGTATTTTCCAGAGATACACTGAAACGTAATAGCAAATCTTAGGCAGTTTCTAACCACCCCATACAAACAGTTGCAATTTGAGTAGTCTGTATAACGTAGCTCACAATTAATTAGGAGAAGAAAAGATGGCCACTCCCCCAACATGAAAAACCCATTGAGCTTTTACATGTCAGATAAGCAGTCATATATCTGCATCTTGTATGTTACTTGCCATCCTTGTGTTTTGTTTCTTTCTAGTGCTTAAATTGCTTTCTCTCTCCGTTCATTTCTCCCTCATTTTTTTTTATTTTGGTAAAACTGTCATTATGCCTCGTTTTTCTCCCTAATGGGTACCTGCAAGTTCAAGTTTATTGTGAATCAAAACAGTTACAAGGGGAAAACATTATGTTTCATTGGCCCCCTGTTTTATTTGGAACTGAATTAGTGAAAGTTTTTAGCGGTTTAATTCACTTCTCCATAAAGTTTAAGTAAGCACGAACAGCTGGTTGAATCCGTGGTAGGAAAAAAAAAAAAAAGGCCAAGTTCTAGTGGCCAACGTATTGTTTCGGAATTAAGGGGGAAACTCATTAACTGTTAATGAAAACGCAGGGAATAAAAACAAATAGCACAGTAACCCCAGCAAAATAATTACCTTACACCTGACACAAGACCGCTTTATCTTTCCGCTCCAACCCTCAGAAATTCCCAACTTATCACTCTGCGGAGCAGGAATGAAATTGAGTTTGACTCTCGGGAAAGAACAGTGGGAGAAATCTCCCCATGGGCCGCTCAGCGCCGTGCGGTGGAGAACCTGCCGCCGAATCTACCCAGCGCCCCATCCTTGTGACCCTCGGAATGGAAGCGCACATTCTGTAGCAGGTGACCCCTTGGTGCCGTTCTCCCGGATCTTATCTAGAAATTCGGAGTGAGAGGCTGAAGGCGGCGGCGGCCGGGCCCTAACTAGAGCTGCTGAGTCGCTGTGGTTTGTGATCCCTTCCGTCCGCTCTCAGCCGGCTTCAGGCGCGGCTGATTCCGGAGAACACGCGCTCCATTCTGTTCCGAGGGAAAGACGATGCTCGCAGCTTGAGCAAATCCAGTGACCGCGGTCATTGCCGGTTCTGCGATAAAACTTCTCACCCGTGCAACTTGAGTAGTTGTCAGCGCTTTAATGACACGGGGGTCTCTTTATCCGGTGGCGTGGGCCCAGGGGCGCCCGGCCACTCGATAGGGCGGTAGCGTCGCTCCTGACGTGGGCTTCGTCCTTGGCCCATTTGCAGTGCTTTCCCCCAGCACCGGCGCCCGCAGCGCTGACCCAGGCTCTGTGCTGCTGCCTGGCCTCGTATCCCTTCCTTGCTGCTCACTCTGAGCCGTGACGGCGAACCTTTCAGAGCTGTCCATGATGCCAAACAGCCGGCTGTGGCACACGTGCCACAGGTTCGCCACTGCTGCTCTCTGGGGACACAGCTGCCGCCCGGAGCAGGTCAGCCATTGAGCGCCCACCTTGGGCCGCTGCTCAGTGACCGTGGACCGCGTGGGGGTGGCTTTTCTATCTGAAGTCAGTAGATGGGGTGCTGGATCCAGGCAGGGCTTTGGGGTGAGACCTTGAAGACAGCAGCTGTCAGTGAGTGCGGTGTGATGTTCTCCATGGAACAGGAAAGGAAAGGTACAGAGAAACTTAGGAAAAGCAAATAAAGCTTGTAGTTCAGCGAAGAGCGACATAGCAATGTTAATTTCTTGGCTTGGGGGCAGAGATGTGCTTTAGGTATGGAAGAAGACGACTTTGGGCAAGACTGGCTGTGAAGTTTACAGGAATTCTCTGCCCTTTCTTTGCAACACTGATACAGACCTAAAAATTATTCCAAAATAAAGAGTTCACTTTTAAAAAACACAGCAGAGGGCTGGGAATTTAGCTTTGTGGCACCGCGCCTGCCTTGCAAGCACAAGGTCCTGAGTTCAATCCCCGGTACCAAAAATAAAAATAAAAACACAACACAGTGAACAAAAACCTTCCTAACCTATACATTTTTTAAAAGCTTAAATGCTAGAATATATGAGTCAGCTGTGTTTTGGGTTTGTGTAGCAGATGTGTCTTTGAGTGGTAGTTGATGAGCAATATTCAGTATCTATGAACTGTAGAAGTCAGGTTTTACATGGCAATCCAAACCATTTTCTTCTTCGTAAAAGGGTTTTTAGTTGGCTCGAAATATAAATTCCTTTCTCATCTTGCAGCTCATGTTGAGGTTTCCAACCCAGAAGTCCCTTTACAATGTGTTGATGGTTTAATTTCAGTGGATTTGCACCGATGGGAAATTTGAGCATTTTTAACCCTCAGTCTAAGATCTGAGCATTTTTTTCCTGGTTATTATGGAAAGTGCGCAGAGATGCCTTAAGCCTAACTACAAGCTTTGTAATCACCATAGCATTTCCTCTGACTTCAGCCTGTGACTGTTGTGTGAGGTTTAAAGCATTTTTTTTTTTTTTTTTTTTCAACAATAAACGCTACGGTTTATATCTAAACTCCCTGCCCTGTAGGTGTTGGACTCAGTTCTGGAGTCTCCCTCCCATCGAGTGTTTGAGGAAACGTCGAGATGTAACTGCCTAATTTATGGACGAGGAAGGACACAGCGGTTCTCGGCTTTATCATTTTATATCCTCCCTACCCTTCCAATTTAATTGTAGGAAATAAACCTCTAAAGTGAGGCAATAGAGATTCTATGAGAAGGCTCTTCGCTTTCACAGCTCCCTAGTCGAGAGCCAGGGCCAAAACGCTACAGTGTTTACTGATTTAGCAGTGGCGATTTCCTTTGGAAATGAGGATCCGAGATAATACTCGGTTCGGCTGAAAAATCCCTTCTTTGTGTTTGTGAGATGAAGGAAACAGCTGTTGTGCTCTTTTACCAGCAGACTGTACCTCGGCTCGGGGGATTCGAAGGAGAGCCATCTGCAGTGCCCTCCCTCGCTTCCGGTTTCCAAATCAGCTGACATCTTCGGCCCGAGCCTTTTAAAGTATCATCATATCATTGGCCACTTCTCCAAAATACAATTCAATGTAGGTTGAAAACACCCAAAAGGGATTAGCATTATTTTAATTGCATAATTTGGTATTGTGTATACATTACCTTTTATCCAAGCCATTTTGCAGAGCAAATATTACCTTCTTAGTGCTTTTAGAATTCCTCAGGGGTTGCTTGCCTAGGCTGTAAACTAGAATTACAAAGAGAACTTTATTAAGCTTGCAAAACAAGTAGTGATTTAAATAGGAATTGAATCCAGCTAGGGCTGGATCCTCTCTGGCTCCCTTACAAGCCTCTTATCTTTCAGAGGAGGGCACATTGACCTGGCCGCTTTGCATTACGTACAGATTAACCCCTTGCGTTATTCCTTCTCTTTCCTCTGGAAACAGGCAGAACGCGGTGCTGGGTAAAGACTGTAACTAGTGGAGACAGCGTATAGATAAATACAAATTGACATCACTGTTTGCAACCTAAACACGATGGAGAAATTTCCCCCTGGTGGCAAGGGGTCCCCCCACCCTAACCTAACAGTGTCTTAGATCTACTGGGAGAATTCACTCGCGTGGAAACTGCCACCCGGGTCAGTCGGTTCTTGAACACGAGTCAGTGAAGGGCAGCCACCTTGACTGCAAAGACGCATCTCTGGCGTGTGTGCGAATCGCCAAAGAAAGCGCCAGACATCTTGGTGAAGGCGTCCAAAGGGTGACCTCGTTTTCTCTCTTGCCCCTCAGGAGGAAAGCTTGGACAAGAGAGCTCTGAGGACAGTCACAGCAGCACTCACGGCCCGTCTTTCCTGTCAGATGCCCCCTTGTTGGCAGATTATCAAGAAGAGGGTGAGTGAGGGCCCCGTTCCTGGATCGGGGTGCCCGCTCCGGCCCCTTTGGTCCTGCGGCCTCTGCCTTGGCGGGGTGCGCCCGGCATCTCCGGTGGGAGGTCGGCCTGGGCGGTCACTCTCTTGCCAAGGACAACCGTTTGTTTCGTGGTAGTGCGGACCCTACTGGGTAATTCAATACTCCTGAAGTTAATGTATTTAGGGAAACACTAATTCCGTACTGGAGCAGGAAGACATCATTATTGATCTTTTTATAATAGTGGTAGCTCAGAAGCAAGGAGGGCGTTTGGAGATTGCAGGAGCCGGCTCGCCTTTCCTGTGGACGCCGTGGCTTCAGTGTGGTGCGGGAGAGGGAGAGCTCGTCTGTCACCATAACCGATCATTACTGTGTCCCTGCTCCTGGGAGACCCCTGGGCCCACGGGAGAGGGCATTTCGCCCGTGCGTCTAACTGAGGCCCTGACCATACGGATGTTGTTCAAAGGGAGGGGAAGGCTGTGAGAACTGTAATGCACGTCCCGGTGCGTCGCTCTTACTTGAATTTTGGGAAATGGGATGAGTTAAATAATCCAAGTGCTGGGCCCCGGGATGTAGCTCAGCGGCACCGCGCCTGCCTGGCAGGCACAAGGTCCTGAGTTCGATTCCCGGTACCAGGGGAAAAAAACAATTCAACAGCTGTGGATGTTATTTTACACTAACAAAACAATGCAAAATAGACGTGAGTCTTTCGGATAAGGTACATGAATGTAGAGATTCGGGCCTGGTCGGTGCCAGTTTCCGGCTCAGGTGCACAGCTCCCGGGACGGGAGGTCCTGTAGCGGCGCCACTCAGCAGACGGCCCCGTCGTTATCCTGGTGTTTTTGTCACGCTCTCGTGGGCCTTCCCAGAGGAGGGGAAGCGTTGAGGTGCTGCTCAGCTAAATACCAAATTGAAAATGCACCTTAAAGGTTAAGAATAAAGTTGGCAAGTTATTTCTTGGTTTTCTTTATTAATCTGGAATCTTTCCATTTCTGTTTTCCTCCAAATTCCGAGAGTTTGTGATCCCTGTTTCCTCTCTCTCCTTTAGTCTGCACGTTCATTGCTATTTCGTTAAGCCCCCCCCTTATTTTGTGGTACCGGGGGATCGAACTCAGGACCTTGGGGTTGCAAGGAAGGGAAGGCACCACTGAGCTAAGTTCAGCCCTTTTGCTGGGTCGTATTTCCTCCCTTCCGTTGAACTGTCACCTCCTTTCAGAACAGTGGATCACATGGCACAGAAACACTTTATTTCACTAGGGCTTTGCGTGGTAGCAAAGTTAGCAAAACCCATGTGTTCTACATTGGGCCTGGTGGTGGAAGCTCTCTATGGGCTCAGGCATTAAACCAAAAGCACTCTCTGAATGGAAAGGTTAATAATTACCTCGGTGGGTGATTAATAATTGTAGAAAATTAACGTTGCACAACATAAAGAAACTAACCTACCCTTTGGCTTTGATTAATCTAGTGCTGGCCGGTGTTAGAACAATGGAGCCCCATTAACCCCCCGCGTCCCCACCGAACATGGGTCTGTCTGGGTCTCGGGGAGACCCTGGGGCCCTCCCTGGGAAACCCTTTGTGACGTTCTAGCCCTCCCAGTTTTTGGGGTTTTTCAGCCTGCAGTAGAGGAAAAACTTCCAGTTAGGTGTGAAGGTGTCAGTGAACACACGACACGGACGTAAGGATCAGGAAAATAAATATTTATATTCAAAACCTATGTACAAATACAGTTTATATGAGTTTTTAAAACAGCAGTCTGAGTCCATTCTGTATTACAAGGAGAAATGGACTGAACTCTTCCTTAAGAGCTGGTACCTATGTAAATTAAAACCTGTTTTGTTTTGTTTTGTTTTGTTTTTAGTAATGGGGATTGAACCCTGACTTGTACACTGCACTACAACCCCATCTGTTTCTATTTATTTTTTTACTTATTATTTTTTATCTGTTTCATTATGATCCAGGGCCTGAGTTACTAAATTGCCCAGGCTGGGTTCAAACTTGTGATCCTGCTGCCTCCCAGAGTGCTGGGATCACAGGCCTGTGCCACTACACTGGGCCATAAATTAAAACTTAAAGCTAGCATGTCTCACACAGCTGGGCATGGTGGTGCACATCTGCAGTCCCAGCACTCAGGAGGCTGAGGCAGGAGGATCACCATGAGTTTGAGGCCAGCCTGGGCTTCACAGTGAGACCCTGTCTCAATCTAAAGTAACCAAATGAGTCTATTTACCATAGGGTCACGTAATGATGACCAAATTTCTTCAGAGTATCAGATCTAGCACCGTGCCAGGTGCCCAAGCCACAACAGGCAAAATAAATGTTTGTTTCCTTCCCTCAAAATTAAAGAGGATATGAACTTCCTGTGAAATTAAAGTGAGGGTTATAAAGGCATTGACACTTAAAGTAAGCTTTATCTCCTGTTTAATTAGATTTGCCTTTATAGAGAACAATATGCTGTAGGTTTATTTTTTTAAAGTCAGGGCCTCCCTCTCTCGTCCGGGCAAGCAGCCCAGGCTGGCTTCAAACTCTTAGCGATCCTCCTGCCTCAGCCTCCTGGGAAACAGCACGCCCGGTTCCCGTCCTGGTGAAGTTCACTGTTTCACTGGGGAAGCTAAATCGATAGGCGATTACTAAATAGGGATCACTGAGCAGATAGGCGAACAAATCCAGTCGGTGTCTTCATCGCGGGGGGATTGCTGAGGCAGGTCTTCAGCGAGGAAACAGTGCCCTTTCATTTCTCCGTAGTGTTATCCTCACTAGAAAATGTTCAAAGATTTCAGTTCTGCGGTCTCCCACCCCCAGCCGGAACAGCGTGCTAAGTGTACAGTTCTGAAAGGTCACGCGGTCTGCCCTCCCGCCCCCGACTTTAATGACAAGAAGCAAAAACCGTGTCGTGTTTGGGTCGCGCCTCTGTGGAAACCACAAAGAGACAGAGAAGAATAGCGAATCCCAGCCAGGTGCGCCGCATAAAGTGGAGACCCTGGTTACAGGGCCAGCCGTGCGTGGCAGCTCCCCAGCGCGGCCCCACCCTCCCCGGCGAATGCCCAGGCCCCGAGGTCGCTGTGTCCCACACCAGGACCCTCATGGGGACCCTCAGGACCCCGGAACCCGGAGGGCCCCTCGCAAACAAGGAGCTATACTTAGGTTTCTAAACTAAAAGTACAGCTTCTACCCTTGTTGAAGGAGAAAACAAGATTTAGTAGAAAAAAAATTGCACACAATCACTGTATAAAAGCCAGACAATTATGAAGCCCGAGGTCTGCTTGTTTTCAGGGTCCAGAATGTACAGTGGATTTTAGGGCGTCTGTAATCTTATTTCTGTTTTCTTTTTATCTTATTTCTTTAATATAATGAAGAGTCCCCGTCTGCCTGCGCTTTTTTAGAAGTTGGGCTGGGGAGAATAATTGTTTCTAGAAAGAGTACAGTGACGCCTTCAGGAGGAAAGAGGAGTGAAATTGTTTCAGAAGAAACCTGGCGTCTGCAATGCTGTGCTCCTCATTACAAACATTCACCTCAACTGAAAAAGGGGGATGTGGACGGGGGAATCCGGAAAGACACGGAAACGTAGGCAGAGCTTTTTATGATAGGCTGTCGAAGGTTAGACAAGGTTTTATTCTCCAGCAAAGTGAGAAACAAACTGGAAAAGTAAGGACCTAATACCGTTGCAAAATGAGTAATTAGGGCTGGGGATTTAGCTCAGTGGCGCTGCCGCCTGCCTCACAAGCACAAGGTCCTGAGTTCGATCCCCAGTATAGATAGATAGATAGATAGATAGATAGATAGATAGATAGATAGATGTAATTGAAAAAATTGCTATGGATAAACTTACAATATAATTACTAATTTAAAAGAGCTTACAGACCTAGAAAGAATATTCTATCATTAAAGAGAACCTGGGGGGGGGGTTAACAGCATCATTTGTAGCACATTTTCTTTTTACATTTTTCTACCTTCATTTTAGTTCTGAAATATGTCAGTTTGGAATTTCAGATGATGACTAACAGGGATGTGGCAACAATTCTCAGACTGATCCCTGCTGGGGCAGGAGGAGGGTGATGTCCCCCGGCCTGCTTTGGTTGGATACTGTGGTTTTCTATTTTTTAATCATGGAAAGAAGATGCCAGGCTGGAATGCATTTTGAATGAGCTATTTTAGTATTGGGAAATGAAAACTAAGGGGTGTTTACCGAGCACACCGTTGCGGCTGACATTCACGGTGGTAATAAACTCTACTGCGCCCACGTCAGAGGCACAGCCTCTGGGGTGGGCGGGGCTGGTGAAAGTGCTTTTCTGGGGGTCATCGCAGGGAATTCGCCAGCGTCCTTGCTGGTGTCCCCATTTTATAGGTAAGGAAAAATAAGGTCTAGAGAAACAAAGTGACTGGCCACAGATGACGCAGCTAGTCATGTGCAAGATCAGGGTCCCAGGGGGCTCTCAGACCGCTCCTTTGCAGAGTTCGCTTAGTCCTGTGTGTGCTCTCACCTTCCCAGGCACGTTCTCCTCAGCAGTGATTCTCCGCTGAATGAACTATCAGTTTTTAATAAATGTGTCCCGAGCTAAAAATTCTCCTCTAACGACTACTTCACAGCGCCCCGCATCATTTACTTATACTGCTTTTATTAGAATTCATAGTTCTGCTAGGCGAGGTGTCACACACCTGTCATCCGAGCACTCGGGAGGCTGAGGCAGGAGGATCACTGTGAGTTTAAGCCCAGCCTGGGCCACATAGTGAGTTCAAGGCCAGCCTGAACTACATGGCGAGACCCTGTCTAAAAACACAAAAATTATAATTTTATTCTGTTTCACAATCTTTACGAAATCCTTTTTAACCTGTGTTACTGAGGAGCATTTTGGAGTTTTTGTTTTGCTTTGTTTTGTTTATTTTTTATGTGTTTTGCTGTAGTTTCGAGGAACTTTTAAACCTGCTTTCCTACTGTTAATTTCTAACGTTATCCCATTGTGATAAAAACCACAGCCTGCATTATTATG